AAAAAAACCTCCTATACCATTATCCTTCTTAAACAGAGGAATATAACCTCACAGCTACTTAAGTTCAGTAAATGTCACTGTGAGGGTCTGTTAAATCATTATTCTGTAAAAACATAATATAGGAAGTAAAACGCTACTTGGGTATATTGCATATCAACATACTATATACAGTGAAACCTGTATTAAGCGGACACCCTCAGGGAATGCTGTAGTGTCTGCTTAATAAAGGGTGTCCACCTAATACAGGTTTTGATAGATAATGTCATATGTGTCATATGCCATTCAAATGAACAGTGGAAACGTTTAGAACACTCCCAGAGACTATGATGATATACGTTTGCACTAATTTCTTTATTAAAGATGATAGTACCATAAACATAGATTGCAACTCAAATTTGAAGAACTGAGATAAGTGAAACAAGCTCTATAGAAACAAAACAAAATAGAAAACAACACTGTACTATGAAACTAAGCAACTGAGTTCGTCAAGTCACGTTTTTTAATGTAAAAATATTAACATTTGTGTGTGGCAATCATTTGCATTTCCGGTGTCTGGCATGTTAAGTGGTAGAATTTAAATACAAGTGCCCGTTTAATACAGGTTGGCAACAATAGAAATGACCATTTCAGGTACTCTCTAAGTGTCGCGTCCGCTTAATAGAGGTGTCCGCTTAATAAAGGTTTCATTTAAAGTAAATAAGGAAAATAAATTTGGGGACTTCGGCTACTGTCCGCTTAATAGACGGTGTCTGCTTAATACAGGTTTCACTGTATTTGATAACTTAAGTTGGATAGAACAATACACCACTAAAGCAGGTTTACAGGTTCACATCCCACTAACGCCTACTTGTACTACAATGTTTGTAACTATGAGACATTATCGACTCCACCCACCTTCATGTAACACGTTGATGTGAGGTCCTGATGCTGCCACTCTATCACTGTATCCTTAATTGTTACAGGAACACTGATAGAGCCAATGGACAGCTTCACCACCATGCTCATCTTGAAAGCAACAAGCTCTTTTTTCAAGGGACATGTACTTCTTATTCTGTAATTTTGGAACATGCAAACAATTTAATACAAGACATTACAACTTCACGCCGATTTAAGTGTGTATTTCAGAAATGGGCATAACCGCTGGATTTTGTACCCTGAAGGCTCAATTTATTCCTCCGGACTTTCACTTCGAGAGTGCTCGTTTTGACTCGGTTCAAAGAAGGTGAGATTTTATGGCGGAAGACTCAGAAGCGAATTCAAAGGAATTGAACAATGGCTTAATTAAGCTGCCCAGGGCCGCGAAGTTTTAAAGGTATCCTTTTGTTCTAAGTGTGTCAATAAAACTGCAGAAAACTATCGCACCTATTGCGGTAGAAGTTTATGGATTTAAGTCTTTCGCAAAACTTCTTCGACTTGGACACATATTTTTCAAACAGGAGAATTTTGAGAGCTTCAAAAAGAGATCTTGAACGAGAAATTTCGACCACTGTGGACCGAGATTGGATTTTTTTTTCTTGCCGAAGTTTCGAAGTACAAAGCAAGCCGTTGAAGCATTTTTTCTCGCCTATCGCTTAATAAAATCCGGCCGAGAGTTATCCATTCATTCAGTCTTAACAGTTATTCATTTCTTCAGAGCAATGAAACTATATACAAGCGTTTCTACAAAATTATTTCGAGGAATTATGAACTCCGCAAGTTTTGATCTGCCGATTACAGCTCTTGTTTTGATTTTAGATATTTCCCGTCTCACTCGACTACTCCGCGAATCAAGTTGTCATGCAAATCGGTGAACTGACAATACGCGGTTATTTCGGGCCCTGCAGTCACGTAACTGAAACGCAAGGTTTTGTTCAACAAAAAAAAAACTGAAAGGAGAGCGAAAACGTCCAAAAAAGTGAAATTACACTCTAATAAAACTGTTTCATCCCGTTAAATGCATTCACCGCTTGCGTTGTTTACATTTTGAAAAGAGTTGTTCGCTCTTGATTGCGGAGCTACTGAATGAATAAAACGTTCTAATAAATAACTTCCGCAGCAATTCTTTAAACGCCAAATTATTTTCAAGGCAAGAGAGTATTTCATAAAAAAAATACTATTGGAGACCAGGTATTTATAAGCTTTAACCAGCTTCAAATTTATCAGGATTGTTTCCTTTGTAATACGGTGCGTGACCGAAAATATGTTATGCAACGAGAGTTGTCCGCCACGCTTAAGAGATTTGTAAGCGTTCCCACAGACTGCAGCAAATTTAACAGGCAAGTCCGAGTATTTTATATTAATGGATAAATTTAATACTCATCAGGTAACAATGGGGATTAAAAAGTCAATCAAGCAACAAAATTCGAAACAAAAGAGACATATCGCACCTAAATCAAAGGAATTCCGCTCGTGGATTCTTCGGAAACTAATCGACAATGGCAAGAACAATAGCCTGAATATATGAATACTTAATAACCCCAAAATTTGGGGTACACACTTAAATCGGCGTGAAGTTGTAATGGATGTTGTTACACTACATGTAGCTCTGTACAACAGTGTGCTCAATAGGATTCGATGTGCTCATGTGCCCAACCTTGAGAAGGTGGCATGACATGAGCACAAACTAAAGAGAATCTACATGTAAATGGCAAAATAAGCGGCTATATAAATCCAAAAAAATTGATCAATGGGTGCTGCATTCTATTAAGGACTCTGCGGTATCAAAAAAACAGTGAGAGAGAAGTGTTGGCTACTTATGCAAGTTTTTTTTAAGCTTCACCATGCGTTTGAACAAGTCTCCGGTCCCATAGCATGTTTCATTTCGAAAATACTGCAATTTGAACTTCTGAGTTTTCACAGTGCGTGACACCAAAATAGGAATGCTGTCTCGATGAAAAAAGTCTCTCCTCTTGATTCTTAGCAGTATAACCATTTCAAGCGTACATTTCATGTGCAGGTATGCTAGTTTCCCAGTGAAAAGAAAGCACTTTTATAGAAAAAGTGAACTCCAGACGTTTTTCTTGATTTCTGGTGGCCATTTGGCCATATTGGTGCACCAAAACAGTACACCAATATGGCATCTCCATACAAAGCTCTACAAAGGTGCATGAAACGTTTTGACAAATAACTCAGAAACTGTGGGCCACAAAGACCTGAAACTTGGACAAATTGTTTATAACATTTCATTTTCTTGGCTTCTTCCACTGGACGGTTTCCAATGTATTATTTTGTTGCATGACAGTGAAAAGAATCTATAAAGAGTTTATAAAAATATAAGGATACTAAGTTCCAATAAAGACTTACCCACAGAGATCTTGTGCGCAAGTTAAAGTCCCTCTAAAAGAACTTTGTCACAGCAGTGTCTAAAATGACAACTGCATTTCTGGTGAGTTGTACCTTCAGTAAATACAAAGATACAACGTCACCTTGCAGTATACCAGAAACCTAGAAACATTGAAATTAAAATATGGGTTATAAATATCCTGAAACATCACTTTGCAGTATACCAGAAACCTAGAAATATTGAACATATATATTAGGTGCAGTTACACAGGGTACTTTTTCCATGGGAAATTGCCCTTTTACCATGGGAAACTGTATCTAATAGTGTGACGACGTTTCCCAAGGTAAGTTTCCTGTGTTAAATAAACAGGTTTATTTCACACTGATTGAACTAATTTGTTGGGCTATACTGATTTTGGAACAATACTTACAAAAAAAATTTGTTCTATATCTGGCATGTAATCGAACTGCTAACTACCTTCGCAAGACTAACACTAACATACCAGTTGAAATTTCAGCTAAACTCTCCGTAAATTTTCAACATAACATGAAATACTACAATCATTGACAGCAATTATTACCGCGATAGAGCAAATGAAGCCGTAAAAGCGGCTAAATCAACTTGGGAATTAATTCATGTGTAACTACATGTTGCTGCGGTAAACTAAATCCACATTAAAATTTACCATGGCTTTGTTAATGTGGGAAATGCCTTTTACCATGATGTGTGTAACCACACCTATCATCTACTCTAAAGGCTGGTTTCAATATGATCGCTCCGATCACTGTGATCGCTGCAATCACTGAAAAAAAGTTCAGCGATCATGGCAATCGTAGCGATCATATGGAAACCAGCCTTCAATTCAAGATTGCTCCAAATCTCTCAATTTAAGAAATTTAGTTTTCTTATTTTATGAGAAAATTTAAACAAATCATAGGATATAAACTCTTTTTTAAACAGGCAGTTTAAATCACAGAAAAAAGAGTTCTTATCCTATGATCTGTTTTAAATTTCCCCATAAAATAAGAAAACTTTTTCTTAAATTGAGAGATTCGAAGCAATGTCGAATTTAGAGTGATATTTTCTTGGCATGGTGCAAATCATATAATGAGGTCGAGATGATTACAAAATGTTCTTACATCAAAAAGGCATCATGTACATAGCATCTTATTTAAAACCTTGCCAAGGAAGACTTCAATAAGCTCATTGTACTAAGAAAACCAAACACACTACATACTTAATTCTAAGACATGTTCTGGAGCTGCCAAAAAAATGCCACAAAAAGGTTTCTGTTCAGATCATTCCATGATTGTCACATCAAATCTTTTGTAATGCCCCATTATACCATCATGCTAGCTAGTAATGTACAAAGATAGTCATGCAATTGTGCATGGTCAGGGCAAATACATGAACTGTACCGTACTTCTCATCGAATCTATAGTCTCTATAGAATATTGCTTACAGTATCTTCACCAGAACTAGGACCAGGCACGTCTTCTCCTTCTTCCCGTGAAGTCGCACGATTTTCCAGCCGTCTTTTGGAAGGGTAAAATCGGGCTTCTCCGACCGTTTCGGTATATCGCTAATATAATGCAGATGACACGAAACTCCCCCTGTCTCGATCGTGTCTCTATGTTACTTTTGGCCAGCGGCATGGTGAAAATGCCGTAATTTTTGACACCCTATAGCCAAAACTCACCATGGGAAAGGACCCTAAAAATGACCTGTTTCATAGCTCAAATGGCCGACTGGCTCAGTCGGCTCAGTCTGTCGGGCTTTACACAGATTTGTGTGACACGGGGAATAGTGTCATGGGGGAGTAAGGATAATGATGAGGCAGGAGAGCTTCAACTTTGGTATGATGAGAGGAATAACCATTACTACCTTTATGCCAGCAATACAGCGGGAGTTGACATACTGGTATGTAAAGTTATTGATGTTTTTACTCTTCACTTCCAAAAGTGCTCTGACAAAATCAAAACGTTATTAACGAAGAAGTCGAAATTTTATTTCGTCCGATACTGAAAACAAATAGTACCATGTGAGAGTACTGATAAAGGGGTTTCGTCCAGGGGCTCAAGAGTAAGAACTAAATGTTGTGGTTCCATAATAATATTGACTCTGGGAGTGATAGGGTTTTAACTATGTATATATACGTGCCAACTCTCACGCCTGCGGGTTGAAAACTTCGATCTCACGCCGGCTCACACCTGCGGGCCAATTTCTCACGCCTGATTGAAAAATGTGAGTTGTTGCCGTCCTGCTTCACACAATTTCCAAAAATACGTTAACTCAGACCCATGTAAGGAACGAAAACCATTTGTAAAATTAATAAATGGCAATACCTTCCTCGCGATCTCTGATTTTTGGTTTTCTTTTGATTTGGGGTATGGTAATGTATGCTAATGAAGTTGAAACAAAAGAAAAATAAAAATTACCTGAGACAAAAACTTAACTACAACATATCCATTTATTATTTTATATGCCTTGTTCTTCATTAAACATTTAAATACAGTAAACACCCACTAAAAAGAAACTGTGGATTAAGAACCTTAAATCTTCTGGCAGAAATTTGCCACTTTAATACCCATGCAAAAATACAAGAACCTGTTTAGCCTAGCCTACGTTGCAGCCAGCCCACGCACTTGTCATTTGTATAGTCCATTTGTGAACTAGTGCACAAAAGCTCATTCTAACATCTTGCAGGGTCGCAAAGACATATGTGAGCGTTTCTGATAGGCAGGTTTCTTGCAGGTTAACGTTTGTTATGCGCCTCATGATTGGGCTAATTCTTATGTGTGGGTGACGGTAAGGGCACAGTGACACGTCAAAATTCACAGAAAGGAGTTGGCAATGATTGTTTGCAGTTTGGAGCAAATTTATAATGAAAGAGCAGTTCAAACTTTAAAGCCTTCTTCTGCCCGAAAAAATGCTTTGAGAGAATTCCTTGTGATATATTTTTTTTTATAAGAATTTGCTTGTAAATTTGCCCTCTGGTTTTCCAGCATCTTCCTATCACTACTGATGCACTGTCACATATTCTGCAATCTAGCTGACAGTTCTAGGCTTCTAGCGTCCAAAAAAAAATCAGGAAATCATTATCTTATCTGTAATGAACAATGGTTTTACAACAGGACCTTTTGGACTAAGTAGGGGAGTAAGGCAGGGAGATCCCCTCTCTCCCTACCTGTTCATAATAGCTTTGGAGACCTTAGCTATAAAGATAAGAGAAGATGATGGCATTAAGGGCATTACAATACGAGATGAACCTGTTAAACTTTCCCTTTTCGCTGATGACATGACCTGCTTTATCAAAGACAGTAGTTCTTATACCAACCTATTCGTTACGCTGAATACTTTTGGTGAATGTTCTGGTTTAAAAATAAATGATGAAAAAACCGAAGCCTTAGCTTTAGGAAATAGTAGTTCTCTTTGGGAGGGGTATTCTGATATGCCTAATCTTTGTGACACTATTAAAATTCTAGGCGTCTACTTTGGCTATGACGCTAAACAAAGAGATGAATTGAATTTTAGGAATACTTTGAAATCACTTAAGAAGACGATCAATTTGTGGAAATGGCGTGGTCTTTCTCTCTTAGGTAGAATACAAATTGTAAAAACCTTTGCCATCCCTAAGTTTATGTTTAGAGCATCGGTGTTGCCAATTTCTAAAGACCTTATCAAAGAGGCCGACTCGCTTTTTTACTATTTTATTTGGAATGGGATAGATAAAGTAAAACGAAATGTAATGATTTCGGAAGTTGAGAAGGGTGGCTTAAATATGCTCGATATTGATTCTATGGTTCGTACCAGACGAGTGATATGTATTCTATAAAAGTCCGTGGAAAGCTTTTTTAAATGAGGTTCTTATCCCCGTTGGTGGGAAGCTCATATTGCATTGTAATTTTGATACTTCTAAATTAAGAATTTATTTACCAAGTTTCTACAAGCAATGTCTCGATGCGTGGTCAGAAGTAAATGCAAAAACACCCAGCTTGCTACATGAAATTGCAAATGAAGTTATTTGGAATAACAAGCTTCTCTGCATTAATAAGAAATCTGTGTATCGTAGAGATATTGCAGATTTAGGGTTTTTAAAAATTTGCGATTTATTTTCAACTAAAGAAAATCTCAATACAGAGCAAGGTTTCTTCATTATGGGTATTATTAACTCTATGCCTGCCAGTTGGCGCTTGACAATTAAAAGGGCAACTACTGCACCGGTGATTGATCCACTTCGGATTCACCTGCTATCCTAATAAGTAACAATTTGGTTCCAATTCTTGATGCTTCCTCAAAGCAAATCTACCGGCTTTTCCTGGAGAAAAAACAAACAACGCCTACTGCTAAAGTAAAGTTAGCTGCAAAGTATTCAAACATTGATATTGATTGGAAAAGTGTTTATTCGCTACCTTTTCGCACAACATTAGAATCTAAACTTAGAGAATTTCAGTTTAAAATTTTAAACCGTATTGTCTTTACAAACGAAAAACTGTTTCGTTTCGGATTGGCTGAGTCGCCATCCTGTGCTTTCTGCCAAACAGAGGTTGAATCCGTAGAGCATTTACTCTTTTCCTGTAGAGTATCATCTAGTTTTTGGAAACATGTCTTGTCCTGGTTGCGCGATAATAACGTCTCTGTTGATAACCTTAAAGAGGAGGACGTCATTTTTGGTAAGTTCGATATTGCAGAAGATTTTCTCCTGTTTAACCATATGTTGCTTCTGGGTAAGTTTTATATTTACTCTCGGAAATACCAGAATGGTATACCTTCTCTTCAAGGTTTTATAGCCAGGACAAGGCGTATTTATAACATCGAACTCCATATTGCCAGGAAAAGAGACAAATTAAACAATCATTTTAGAAAGTGGGAAAAGTTAATAAGCGTTTTTACGTAAAAGTGATGTTATGATTAATTTCAACAATAAGTTTAAAGAGATGTCATTGTAATTTACATGGTAAGTAACTTATTGCTGTAATAGCTTTGTATTTTTTGTTTTGTTTTTTTTTTTTTGTTTGTACTATATATGTGTGTGTGTGTGTGTGTGTGTGTGTGTGTGTGTGTGTGTGTGTGTGTTTTTTTTTTCTCTTTCTTAATTTCTATTTTGTATGTAAACGTAAGAAATGCTTTAATTAAAAAATATTAAAAAAAAAAAAAAGGTTATTTAAAGGAGCTTAAGGCTTAAACTATGGTGGCCAAAGGGGACATGCTGCAAATAAAAAAGTTGCTGCAAATTAAATAAAGTTGCTGCAAATAAAAAATAATTGCAGCAAATAATAAAAATAGTTGCTGCAAATAAAAAATAATTGCAGCAAATAATAAAAATAGTTGCTGCAAATAAAAGCAGTTGCTGCAAATTAAGTGACAGGAAAGTATGCGCATGCTCTGATGGGAAGAGGAGGAATCAGTATAGTTGTAAGGAAGTTAAAGACAGACCTGCAAGGACTCCCAATGTGGTTTTTGTGGTTGCGTTGAATTATCAACTACCTTCAAGTTACATTTTTGCACTCAAGCATGTCTTTTGTAGGATATGGTTGGAGGTCTTAAACTGTTTTCAGCACTGCAGAGGCTGATTTTTTATTAGACCTGTAGACTCCAGTTTGCCATCAACGTCTTTTTAAGATCTTGTACCCATGGGTTATATGTTGTAACGAAAGGCAATAGTCTCTCTTTAATTTTTTGTTTTAACCCCTATCAGTGGCTCGAGTCAAGGTTGACCCCTGACAACGACCTTTCTATATCTGGTTTAGGATATTCATGTGCTTCAAGTTCGCAAGGCACACTCTTCAAATGTTTTTTTTTGAGGAGTTTTTTCTAATCAAAATTATCTTATTTCTTCGCCTTTAATGAAACTTCTTTTTACCCCGAAGGGTGGAACGAGATAAAGTGTACATATTGAAAGGTTTTAGTCGGCTTATAGTGGGATTTGGTGTCCAATGAAGATGAATTTCTCTGTGAGATGTTCTCCTTTGAAAACTATTGTATCAAGGAAAGTTATTTCGTTATCTCATATTTCAGCTGTGGACGTGGACTTTTTGGGATGGAATTTGTTAGTTTCTTTAATAAAAAGTTAGGTCTTTTCTGTTACAGTCCCAAAGAAAGGAAACATCATCAATGAAATGTTCCATTGGTATTTATGTTGGATTGGGTTTATTATTATTATTTATTTATGTTGGATTGGGTTTGTTTCAGTCTCTGCCTTGTAGATATTTGCAAAGGACACTGCTTATGCCCAATGCAACTCCTTGGGTTTGAAGATAATTGTTTCAATTGAACTCAAATAAGTTTTCTGTCACTGAGGATGAGGCCAAGCATTTCGTGAGTGGGCCCTGGATACAACTATACTGAGTCCTGCTCTTCCCATCAGTGTGTGTGCATACTTTCCTGTCACTTGATTTGCAGCAACTATTTTTTTATTTGCTGCAATTATTTTTTATTTGCAGGAACTACTTTTTATTTGCAGCAACTTTTTTATTTGCAGCATGTCCCCTGTGGGCCACCATATTAAACAGAGGTAAAAGAAAATCATTACATGGTAAACTGCATTTGTGATCAAATCCTGTCAGAAAACATCTGCAGAAACATAAACCATAGGAACTAAATTGCTCAATATGCATGGACCAGACCAGCTTCCTCAACCTCTAAATGTGAGACTCAAAGTGGTAACATAAAATTTGCTCAGTATAGAATACTCCATGCACTGCATAAACAACGCAAAAAGAGAGCGAGAAAAAGGTTGTTCGAGCTGACTCTTCGGTCACGTCAATTGCACTATCAAAAGCTCAATCTCCCTTCTCACAAGCTATATATATTACATAAATTAGTCGTGTTTGGCCTGTCAATGCTTAATTCAAATCGGACTAATCACATTAAACTGTGTAACAAACTAGCCAATCAAAAATGCTCACATATGTCCTTGCGACTGCGGGATTCAAACATGATATTGTGAAGCAAGTTTAGCCAAAGGAAGATCATCATTGCAAGTTAAGCTTAAATTATGATAAACAATTTAACAAAGGGGGGTAACTATGAGTTGTAAAAAGGGGGGTACCTATGAGTTATTTTTTAAGTATATTCATAAGTCTCGCTTGCTTAAGAAATGAGGAGGCAATTACATCTACATGAAGCAGATTTCCTTGTGACAAGTTTTTAACTTCCTACTTTATCGACAGTCAAGTATTCTTCAGATATTTTATTTTATATATGGTATTTGACAACTTGTTTCTGAATTGGTTGAGTACATGTGTATAATACACGAGAATTAAGGGCCTAGATTCGAGTACGAGAGAAATTACATCATTGCGAAAGAGCAAAAAAGTGATGAACATGGCATGTCATTTCACTCATTGCTGAAAATGAAATGTTCAAGGAAAGTTTACAACACCCGACCAGTTAGCCACACCATCTGCCCCATTGATCGAAGTTTTGCTCATTAAGATTCTTCTTTTTCTCGACCACTTGTTCCAAAGTAATCAGCACTTTCAAGCAATAGAATTTTGTGGACCAACCTATTCCGGAAAAGCTCTAAATCTTTTGCATTAACTTTTCCTAAGCTTTCTTCACAAAACATTAGTGGCTCCTGAGTCATGCCGCAATTCTTTATTATAACGCCCTCTTTCCATGGTCTCCGCTATGTTCAACCCTGCAGGGACCATGTCTTCCCTTTTGTGGACTAAATACAAGGAACAAAACATGGCTTACAGATTCTGAATCTGTAGTTGAGACTAACAAGAAATTTGGCCATCAGTTTTGTTAGGGTTATATGACATAATACAATTATTATGAATAACTTAAAAGTTAATTTATTTTTGTGATTTTAAATCAACAATCTATCTCCTTCATATGTAAAAACTAAGAACCTACATAGCCTAAATTGCCATTAAGTACCCCAAAATACAAGAACCTTTTTTGCCAGACTTTAAAAAAAGTAGGTTCTTATTTTCTGGTGTTACTGTACCTCATTTAATACCAGTTTTATGTAAATGATTGGCCACCATGGTAGCTTTATGCACCACAACAATAGGTTCATGAGGAATTGAAGTGAGTGAGTTCACTTGATTCATGTAAGAACTTTTAATGAATAAACCAGTGCTGTGTTTACATTTGATCATTACCAATTCACTGAGGTTATTTTAAAATGCCTTTCATGTTTAGTGTCAGCAGAAAATACATGTACATTTAACAACAATAAACTGTTTAAAAAATTTAAGGAAAAACTTGCAGTGACTCTAGGAGCTATATTACATGAATAGCTGCATAGGTTCATGAGAAAATGGAAACTGTTATCCTCCACACCAGGATGGGGTTTATACTTCCCCCCACGGAGGGCACCAGAAATTCCAATGGGAAAGGGGTCCAAGAGGAGGCAATTTCCAAGGGGGTGGGGACAGATTCTCAAGGTCTTTTTTTCCAGGGACTTTGAAACAAGAATTATTGTTTTTATTGATGATCCTACATTTATAACAGTTTAATATAGCTGAATGCTTTTTCCACAGCTTAACTGTATGAATGTAGTCTACATGTATCTAATATGAATGTCATCGGCTCATGAATAATGCCGGTCATCCAGCTCATTGCTTTATATTTCACAATATAATTGTGGAATTCTCTGTGTTATGGTCATGTTCTATCAGCCTTCATCTAACTTGTTTTTAACAGAAAGGAGGTAATTGTTTATTGTTTATTGGTTCTTTCATAGATGCTCTACTGACTCATTAGTACACTGGACAAAACTGTTCTGGATTGATGTAATGACTAGGCCGTATTATACAAAAATGAAACAAGCCAAAGAACCTCAATTATATTTATTCTTTCTCTTTTGAAGTTTATCAAATTCGACATATGGGAAAATATTTTCATGTTGATCACGCAAGGAGGACTTGCATTACAGTCTATCCAAACATGGTAACAAAATCACAAAGGTATGCAAAATCACGTGATTTCTAAGAAAAAATAATGAATTAAAAAATGAAGGGTTGTTGTGTTAAGAATATCCCGCCATTTTTGTGGATGGTTTGAAAAGCATTCTATGGGAAAACACAAGGAAAACTTAAGGACAGTCTACAACACATTTGACCACTGAAATATGGCACTTTCTTCAGACTTTCATCATCTTAAAACTCTTCTTGCCACTAGATTGGTCTTCCATTCTGTTTTGAAGATGGCAGCCTGTTGCTCACACTCTGTTCCAGCAGCCACGAAATGCTGCTGTGTTAAAGCATAGTCAGCCAAGAACGAACAGACACTGCTATTTGGGCCTCTCTAACAGTTGCTGGACCATATTAATGTCTTTACTCTCTTCTCTCAGGAGCTTGCCATTTAGTCTCACGTTGTGTTGCCCAACAGCTTGAAACAACTGTGTGGATTTGCCTTGTGGCCCTTCAGTGGTAGCATATATATGTATCACAGCTTGAATCTTGACTCTATGAACTGCTGATGTATCAAAGGGTTATACTGCTTGAATGGAATGGAAATTATAGGGGTGTGGGTGGTCTAAAGTAATAGTGCCCTCCGTAGGGGTGGGGGGGGGATATTATGGATGTTTTCTGGAACTACACATTACAGTTTACTCAAAACACAGTCAACTGTAAGTTGTGAGTCAGGCAACAAATAACCCTTGTTTTTAGTACATGTTTTTGTGGTAAAAGTAGTATACATGTAGTATTAAGAGGTCTTTGCATTTTTTAAACTTTTTTTGCAATAATTATTATTTCAACTCATGATCAGTTGCTTTAAATGTCAGAAAGTAGGTTAAGTTCCCTGAAATTGATTTCTTGGAATCGAACCCATTCAGTCGAACTTCTCTAATACGGACACCAAAAGGACAGAGCGAAGTGTCCATACAGCTGTATTAGAGAGGTGTCCATATAAAAGAGCTGATCACTACAATGACGTCACTTTTATGACTCCACTTACAGTTTTAAGTGTTCAGTTGCTAGAACCAGGCTTACACTTGTCTTTAAACTGCATTTAAGTTTATTAATTCACAGTACAAAGACACTGTCTTTCAGTAGCATACAAAATTGTACATATCACCTACATACGTACAGTCGTAGACAAATCATGATCACTGCTTTAAGACGAAACGAGCTACAGCGCAATGCTGCATGTAAAAAGTTGTAACGTATTTGCACAATTCTGAAAGTGTCTTTCACTATTTTGCAAGGCAGTATTAACAGTAACTAGAGTACAAAATGTAACACAATGTGTAGTTATTGAAGCCTTCAAAAAGTTGGTTATTTTCCTCTGTACACCTTTTGCAAATTAATTGTTTGGTATATGGCGACTGGGCTTTAGAAGTCACCTTGCCTAGCTCATCAGCCAGACTAGATGGGATTTACCCTGTGCAACTTCACCTGATCGGGATCGGGTGTTCACCCGATCACTACAGTGTCCATAGTAAAGAGGTTAAGTTTATATTAATTTACTCTCTCGGGCCAAGATTTAGTGCCCATTGTCCGTATTACAGAGAGTCCGTATTATAGAGGTTCTTTTTTAAAGAAAATACATGAGAATTTTGTCGGGACATAATTTGGAAACTGTCCGTAATATATAGAGGTGTCTGTATTAGAGAAGTGTCCATTCTGCTTGAATCATTATCTTGAACATATTGCTGAAAATATTTTTAATAATGTTATTTTCTTTTTTTACCATTTAAAGGGAGTCAGGAATTTGCATTTAAGAGGGTACAGCATACATAATCCATCCATAAAAGTCTAGTCTTGTCAAATTATGTGATTTTTCTAGAATGAGATTTTAATAGACCAATATTGATGAAAATTTATGGTATAAAGATTTACAACAAGCTTAGAAAGTTAGAAAGAATTGTACATGATGTTTCAAAAGCTGAGTAGCAGATACATCTAACATTCAAGTTTCTCTTATAGATGTTTTTGAATAATTGCTGTGACTTAACCTTATGGATTAAGTTGGCCAATGGCATATTTTGTTATTGAATCTACAGATTTCATAGTTTTTTAAAGTATACAAATTCACCTAAACAGTCAATTTTTCACAATTTTTTTCATCACTTTAATCTGTCACCATTTTGGCACACCATTGACAGGATGTAACAAAGGGCTATACAGGGTGTCCCAAAAGTTCTTTCCTCTCCTTTATAAGTCTGTAATGCAGTACGATTGCACTTGATCAGCGGATAATTTAAACTAAAGTTGTGACTTTCAATCTAATTTAATATTATTTTCATACTTCTTGTGCCATCTTTTGACTCGAAATTCGATTTGTGTAATTTCACGCCAAAGGTGCGCTGCGCGAGTAAATTTTCCCGCCATATATTTTTTGCATTAATTTTTTTGTAGCCCGAAATGCTCGAACTCCTAACCTGTTTTGTGTGAGTATCCTGAAAGATAAGCCCTCTCAACAAAAAAAACACTCAGCCACGTGCGAGCAGAAGCATGTATTTCTATCTACTGGCTTTTCAGTTAAAGAAATTCAATAAAAAAAATGGAAAAATCCGAATGTTGGGAGTTAAGATGGTCATAGAGAAATGAAGGTTTTACAAACAAGAAACGAGAGGAAAGACCGAAAGTCCTGAATAAAACTGCTAAAGTAGTTTTAAACAAGGCCATGTACAAAACAGAAAACCCAGCGAGGTAGATCTTACAACAGTTAGCAAGTTAAGTCTGGAGTAGGTTCACGAAAAGCAAAGTTTTGGAGACCCCTGAGATGGCAAAAAACCTTTACTCCCGGCCAGGGCCATCCGCCAAGCAATGTTCAGCTCGTCTCAAATTTGTAAAGAAGAACAAAAGCCTGCTTACTGTGGAAAGGGGACGGAATGATCATCTATTCTTAGATCCATGCCCAAAAGATATTGCTTCAGCTGCCTTATCTACAAAATTATATTGTTTGGGGGTCGAAGTGACTCCTGTATACTAGGTGCTAAAAAAGCTCAAAATGAATCATCTACAGGGCTCTACATGCTACATGGCTTATCTCACTTAATGCCGAAACAGCTACAGCGTGTGATAAAAAACAAAGGGGGGATGCCGGTAACTGAACTTCTGAACACAAATACTCGATAGAGTAAGAAACATATTTTAGAAATTTCATGTAAAAATGAAGTTTTGATCAAAAGTTATAGCGCATGAAATTAGAGGAACAAACTTTTGGAACACCCTGTATATCTGATAGCCCAGGGCTCAAGTGAGGCCACACATGGGGTGTCCAGTGAGTTTAGCAGCATTTGCCAAGATAAGGAATAATCTGAAATGCTACAGAAAAGGGGACTGGGGTTGGTTGACCAGCATGAATGCTTTACTGTGGCTACTAAACTTCAGCAACAGTTTGCTCAAAGGGCAATGAGTTTTAATTTTCACCTCACCGTGATTGAGGCACCTATCAGCTTCTTCTCAGTAACAAAGGAGCTGTGACATTAAGCAACAGTAACGGTGGATTTAGGGGTAGGCCTTTTTTCCTTGAAATTGTTTTGTATTATTTTATAGAATTCTCAGAACAATAAAACGTTTCTATATAGCTGGCAAGTGGGCAAGTGTCCCAGCCACCCTTTTCTAAATTTTCTGGATCCACTCCTGGCAGATGCTGGTAAGATGAGTTGATGAGAGATTTGGTCATTTTTGATAACTTATTTAGAGACCAAAAACCAATTCCAGCGTACAGCAAATAATACAAAATGTAAACTTCACTGTACTAATCCTCTTGGTGGTCAATGTTCACTGCTTACGAAAAATGTACATGTATGCAGCGTGCAAAGAAAGTAGTGTCTGATAGCCCGGGGCTAGTGGATTTTGCTATCGGGCTAGTGCATTCTGTTTTTAACTTGCCCATCGGGCAAGTTAAAAACAGAAGAACTGTGAAATCACTTCTGCTAGTCAGTAAGTTTAAAAAAAAACGACGTCTGGGCTAGTAAATGCTAGCTCCAGCTTGCCCAAATAGCAAGCTTTAAAAATGATTTTCTTTGCACCCTGTGTATGTGTTGCATGCCATTATCAAAATGGAATAAATTATGCAAAAGATTCCAGTTAAACCACACTAACCAAGTGTGCCAGAGAAGACAGAAAAAATTAATAACTCATGATCAGGTTTGTGGAGATTGACCAGATGGAGAGATCTAGGTTGGTAGGTACATGGAAAGGAACTAATAATTTCTGTTGTCAGGGACTTGACTGACAGCCTTGTTTGTGTATTTTCCTCCAGTAATAACAGTTGCTTATGGTTGTCAGTAGATCGATGACATGTGACGATGGTGTTTCCATCCCTTTTTCTAATAGTTTATTGTTCCTCCTGCTCTTCATTGAATTACCTTTCCATGCTGTTTTTCCAGATCTAAATCTGCCATTAAGGCTGGTCAACAGGAAGTAAGATTTTTTGATTGTTTTTCTTCCTGTGGTTCTGATACTGTGTAAGCTTTCCTTGGGTTTCTGAGGTTGAAATTGAAATAGCAGTTACAAAAACAAACTGCATGTATACTGCTAGTTCAAAAGTACTTCAAGAAACTTCCTCTTCTTGGCTTGCCATTATCTCTTTTTAAGCCACTACGGGTATGATTTTGTGATTTCTCTTTTTCCAAAATTTGGGTATGATTGTAGGTCATGTGTATACTGTTTCACTATACAGTACCTGGAGTATGAAAATCAACTCTTTGAGTTATTGGGATCTGAAATATTATTTTTTGAGGTCCCCAAAGTCAGCAGCCTATGTTATTTTTGCTATTTCATTTATGGGTACTTTCATTTTGGTTTCGGTTCATATCATTCTCATAGTTGCCTTGCCCTGTTTGTTCGGTGAAGCTAAGCCCTGTTAGGCAGGGTTAGTACTGGGATAGGGGACACCTTTTGGGATACTGATATACTTCGACTTTAAGTTTATTTTTCAAAAAAAAGAGTTTCATTGTTTAAACACGCTTATAGAGGTTACATTTATACGATTTAGAGTCAGAAGAAATTGCAAAGGACTTTCTTTGATCATATTCGTGTGTTTATTGCAAGTAGCTAGGGGAAGTGGTGAGCTAGAGCTGACATATAGTCCTGCTTTTACTTGTTTATAGCCTGTGGTGCAGTTAGCCAACATATCGTGTATAGTATAGACATAGTTGGTTTAAAGAAGGTTAAAATTGTCTGCGGTGCTGGCTAGCTTGTTTATAGTACAGTATTGTTGTAAAGTGCAATAAACTCAACCAGAGTGCTGCACCTATTGACAATCAGCCAATCACAAGTCATGTTCACGAGGACAGTTACAGTAGTTGCCTGTCAAAAACAAGATAGCTCTTTAAATCTCAAAGTGCCGCCGGCCCAAGTGTGTTCATTGCACTCTGATATTAATTTAACTTAGAAAAATTTAGTAGGTTTCAAAAATTGTATATTGGACTTAAAAATGAATCAAAATTATGTTGAGCCATTACCCCATCCAGTATATATTATATGCTAACAATCTCATCCATGTTGGTTTTAAAATTGAGCAAATAGTGTAATTGATCATCCTTTCCTTTGGGACACCTCCATTCAGGGGACAAAAAATTTGGTCCCAGAAAATGTGCACATAATCTTTGTATCTATTACCTCTATTGAAGGGACAAGTGACCTCTACTCAGAGGAAAGGGAGTCTTTTTCTGGGTCCAGAAACCTGGGTTTATTTTAACGTCCATTACCGCAGGGAACACCTCAGCACTCAGAAAGTCATTGACCTCAAAGAGGGCTGATATCTTTAAGTGCACACTAATAAAAAAATCGAAGCTTTCACAAACTGAACTATCTCACATAAATCAATGAAATGCACTTGAGTGAATTCAACAGATAATTATAGCAATAACCAACACAAGTTTATTCAGTATTACCATTTCTGTACAGGTGTTACCTATTAAAAAAAGTAAAATTAAATTATATAAAAATAGAAAATAAAAACAAAATAAATAAAACAATAGGGAGTTTAATATACCACGACGGTGACGGCCACCCACAAAAACGTCGCTTAAAAAGTGAATTTCCATTCTTGCAGTCTCTATCGCGATTACTCCAACTCATTTACTTTGTTAAATGTAAGCGAAGCCTTTTTGAGTTTTTGAGCCGAATTCGTAAGAATCATATTTAAAAAGGTTGAGTTTGATCGTCCGGGTGAACGTAGTCCTGAATAGGACTGTTACGTACAGAAATGGTAATACAGAAATGGTAATACAGTGACTGACGTTTCGACAACCTGTGCGGTAGTCATCTTCAGAGTCAAAGTGAATTGTATCACGTCAGTTGATGGTATTATACTCTGGTCATTGATCTGATTGGTCAATTATGTCGCGATGTTATTGGTCGTCTGTCAGTTAAGCCGTGATGTTATTGGCTATGAAGATGTATAACGTATTCTACAGACTACTACCAACGTCTTATTTTAGAAAGCTGGTTTACTAACTTAGAACAAACGCCACTGAATCGTACCCAACAGTTACCAGCGCCGTACAAACGACTTACTGACGAGATCAAGCAAAACTAACTACGAGAGAACAACCGGAGAACTGACAATTTGACTAACAATAGACGACTGTTTAACTGTGACAACAGACGGATGGAAACGCACCAATCTTTGATTACGAGTCTTCATAGCCAATAACATCACGGCTTAACTGACAGACGACCAATAACATCGCGCATGTTGATTCTTCAGATTCGCGCGTTTTGGCCACCTGAATTATAGGGACATAAAACAATTATCTCGTAAAGGGGGCGTCACAGGCACCCCAGGACCACACCCTAGTTACACCCCTGAGGAAGAGAAAGATAATTTAGCCGTCGCTTCTTTAGGTCCTCCATAAGACGTAAAATTTGGCATTTTCCTGTCGTAGTCATGCAGTGATGGTTAAAAAATGTACAAAAAGCGTGATGCACATGCAGAGTTGTTGCATTGCCTATTCATTTCAACCTACTGCCTTTTTGACGTTTGTTTGTCGTCGCTGTTGTGGCATCTTAAAGTCCCTAGTAATGATTTCTCTATGCTGTCTTTGTTGGTTAATTATTAACAAACCCCAGCCCAACCTCTAATCAGGGGGAACCTCTATTCAAGGGACACTTGCTTTGGTCCCGAGGGTGTCCCCTGAATAGAGGTTTCATTGTATTTGTTTATCTATTGCTTCAAGTTTGTTTTGTTTTGTTTTCACAGCTCACTTAATAACTTTCTGTGCTTTGCACTGTGAGCCTGTTGACTTTCTTGATCAGTATTATTATGATAATCTTTGATAACGAAGACTTTTTAATGCTCCATTTCTTGTACACTGTACAAGTTAAAATTTACACCAAATAGTATTGCATGAAACCTGAAATGATGCGACAATGGCCGCTATTGTCAAGTGAAATTTACCCTACCTTATAAAGTTGTTCTTCAGCTATTATTAAGTCAGTCGGATAACGATTTGTTCTCTGTCTTGCATAAAAATATTTATCATCTTAAGTTAGTTTTCTTACCACTCATTATTCCCCTTTGTTCAAATTGTAATCTTTCATTTACTGCAGGAGAGAGAAGATGTTGCCTGGCTTGCTCATGGTAGTATAGGGAATTAAGGGAGATGTGGTGTTGCCCTCTTCCTAAAGGTCTGGGGACGAGCCAGGGACCACGTGGTCTAGTGTATACTGGGCAACCTCATAGAGATTGGCTGGGAAGACAATGAACAAACAAAGTAACCATGGAACCCTAGCGCGAAACAAAAGAGCTGCAACATATAGGAGTCCAAACAAATTAGAGGTTCTAAAGAGCTGCAAGGCTACGGTTTTGACAAATAATTTTTAGCTGAACGTATTGAACAAATGTTGCTGTAACTGATGGTGCACCGGTTTATAATGGTACTAGTGAAATCTCGGTTAAATGGACGGTGTAGTTGTATTCTGTTGTTATTTTGCGGTACAATAAACACCCGCAGCAGAAATGAGAATCTTCTTTTCTGAAGTCTAGCAAATAAATAAGTTCTTGTAATTTGGGGTACCTTAAACGGCTTGGAAACTAAAATTTGATAGCATTTTGTTTTGAATAAGGGTATGGGCATGATTTTCAGTTGAACATGCTTAGCGAGCGTAAAAATCGCATCCAGTCTGAGGATTAATGAGAGAGGGAAAATTTTAGATATCAGGCATGACAAAATTCAAGGGAACATTGGTACTTAGAAACAACATCTCACAGGCATGGAAAAAATGGGTTCATGCCCTCGCAGCCCAAAATTGACCCAGCTAAACTTAGTTCCCAGATCTCTCGCCGGGTTGATAATTCATTCCCAGTTTTTGCTCCTCTGGTTTGGCATGCCGGGCATGCAGATCGTGAAGCCAGTTGGTTTGGCATGCCCGGCATGCCAGGCAAGAAATTGGCATGCCCAGCGAGACTGATTTTGATGTTCGCTACAGCATCATATCCTGAGAATCACATATAATCGCCAAATTTATCTTAGGGAGCTTGAAATGACAGGTTTCATGCCTGGCAATAAATGCAGATTATAACAAAAAAAGTCATGTTTGTCACAATGTGTGTCACGGGATCGACTGGCAAAACCGAAGACAGAAGCCTGGATTTATAAATAAAAAGCACAACAAAACAACACTATTCATGCAAAAATAGAATACTTAACTTGCAATCAAAGATTAATCCTTTTATTTCAAACCGATACTGACATTTCTGGGTCCATATTTAAATTTGATCCCGGAAAAGCGTCTTAAACAATAAGATAACAAATCTTCTCAGTATAAACTTATTCATGCTTAAGTTTTATCGCGTCGGAATGTTTCCTGGTCAACAGTATAAAAGACTGGTGAAAATTAAGCTTACCAGGTCGTTCAAGTCAGTACGAGAGTACGACGTTAATACTGCAAAGACGTTCTGATCTGGTGAATTTGGACTGCCTTCTCAGAGAGATTTTGCTTAGTTTTTCAGTGCGCTTCTTGTCGGCTATGCGAATCTCGCAAACTGTTTTAGTCCTTGCTGACGATAGTCCTTTGAGCAACGTCATCTGCGTCATCCGAAGATACCCCGAGCACGCACGAAATCGGCCGAATTTCCGCAGAAGTGTTTTCGGATGACGATGAATCTAGTTTGTTGTAGCGTGGCAGTTGTGGCGTCACGATGTCGTCATGTCTCTTCGCATTTGTTTGTCTTTTTTTTCTGCGGTGCATGGTTGAGATGTTGGTGAAAGCTGGACAAGAAATGGATTCTGCGAGAGACTGTAAGTACAAATTTAGTATTAATTTGGTAAAGAAAAAGCCTGAATATCGAACAAATCCCGTGAATTAGTCTTTTGGCATTCAGTTTATCTTACTGTTGAGCATGCCTAAGAACTCCGGCATAAGTGTCATAAGTGGCTGTCAACTCGTTCACTTCGGATTGTTTCTGATTGTATGTCTTGTAATCTTCTTCTGCTGCTATGAAGACTAGAGAAAACCTCAAAAATAAAGAAACCAAAGCTAAAAAAAGTCAGATCTAATTTTATAGCTCGAGTATAATTATTTTTGGCACCTACGGTCATATTTTTTCACTGTACTGGTAAAGTTACTTATTTTTGCTGCATAGTTTGACTGTTGTTCGAAAGACAATCAAACGGATACTGCAATCACTTTTGGAGACAAAATAAAATATCCGTAAATCAAATGCCAAAATCAGATTTGGATTTCGCTTTATAAAAATGAACATGCTGCAGGTGTCAATGCAAAGTTGTAAACAACTCAATATAAGCAGTCTGTGAATGTGCGTTTAGGTCCACAAAACTAATTTTTCTTTTGGACATCTCATCCAAGCAAAGACTTAAGGCTTACATTGCTTGTCTACGAGTGTACTACAAAATGCTTTGCTACAGTAAGCCTCTGAGAGGCGATTCTGGTAAATTTATAGGACGCTAAAATGCAAATAATTCTAAGCTTAAACAACCTGGCTGGGTCCGACTTTTGAATTACAAAATGTTCACGTTTGCTGGCTCTACTTTAAATGAACATGGTTTTTGAAATGATTTTGTACTATTTTAACCCGAAAATTATGACTGGGTTATAAAGCTTTTAAAACGGACGAAAACTAAGCTAATAAACATGTTCAATGTAAAAAACTAAGATTTAGTCGCTTTTTCAACTTTGCTTTGTGGGCCGAAAAATTTACCTTTACGCAAAAACAAAAGCAAACAATGAGGCTTTTATTCGACATATTTTCTCAGAATTTTATCTGATCAATTTAATGTCACTAGCATTGTTTTCGTATAGGAATTTTCCTAATTATATGAGCTTTTACTTTAATAATTTTGATACTCTATAAACTTCTCATTTGATAGCTTCACTTTTTTATACACCGATTGAGAAACAAATTCGCTCTCGTTAAATCCTATTTTATGACCTATTTATTAGAACTCTAGGTAACATACCAAATGGTGTAAACGGACAGGCTTTAACCTTTGGTCCTAATTTATTTTTTCTTCCCATCCCTAATCAGTTGACGGGCCGTGGGAGAATATCGCCACAAAAAGATGCGAAAAAGTTTTCGCTGAGTTTTTTACATATTTCGGCTTTATATGGGTCTACACCTTTACCTGCTTAAAAATGAAACTGTTGTTCAATTAAGCCAGTCAAACTCGGTATAATCTTGACTTGCAAATCCATTCTCGTCCCCAGAGCCGCTTGGCCCTCTTAACCGTCGGAGACTGAGGCCCTCGTGCTCAGTCTCCGACGGTTAAGAGGGCCAAGCGGCTCTGGGGACGAGAATGTTGCAAATCCAAATGCAAAGGTTTATTTCGCAGTAGAAGAGCGTGTAAACATCATCGAACAACGCAATGTAAATTGGCTAATGTGAAACCACGTTTCTTTCACTTTATTTACCATGCATTTATCTCAATTGCACACTCTTGTGAAATTAGCCTCAGACAATAAAAGCAGTTGCGACCTTTAACAGACTCAACAAGCCAGTATGAAAATATGTTAAGAGAAGCTGAGCTCTACATGTTCTTTTTCTTTTTTCTCATATTGCCCTTGCATGTGTTAACATTCCATTTCTTTTTTGTTACAGGTAACTTCCAGACATGACGAGGAGATAATTACTTTTCTAGAGAGCAATTCTTTGATACTGTCAGTTATTACTGACTTACTTTGAGTTAAAAAGAAAGAACACAGACACTGGTAATGACACAAAAACATTAATCCCTGGCAAGCCTACAAAACAAGAAAGAGGAACTCAGACTTTCTAACAGCTTTTCTAACGTAGGGAAAATTGCGTTAGAGAGATTTGTAATTGCAACGTTATATTCAAGCACATTGCTTTGTCAAACATCATAATTTACTGAATAATGAACAGTGATTTGGGGGCTTAGCTCAGTTTGTAATGAACTTTGAAAGATATTCTGTAACCTTGTATTTTTAAAAGCTTTCATGGAACATAGATGCATTTTATTATACAATGAAAATGGTCTCTGTCTCTCTTTTTACTGATTTCAGTCAATTCCATTTTATTCGCAATGTGAAATAGGAATCCTATTAAAGACTCATTAAAAGGGGTGAGGAGTTTTTACAATCCCCCAACAGGTCATCTCCACGATGACGCTGTTTTATTACTACGGACGAATCCTTCAGGGTTTTACTTGAATGTGAAAATTAGAGCTTTTGTTATTTAAAGTTCTCTGGCCTGGGGACAACCAAATCTATGAAAATGAAAGGAATAGCAATGACGTCATCGTGTAACCGTACATCAAAAGATAAGCACTGTGATCTGTTTAGTTTTCTTTTTTGTTTTTAGCCAGGCTTAAAATATCTGTAGATTCAAGGAATTATAACCTGTGCGTTGAGAGCATGCCAGAGACCAATTTTGGCATGCCCGGCATGACCCAGATTATGGCAGGCCCGGCATTCCAGAGAATTTAGCATGCCGGGCATGTCAGAAAATTTGGCATGCCCGGCATGCCGGAGATTTTGCTGGGTATGAATTACTTATTACTAGAACCTAGGCTTCTCGCGGCCTGGGTGAGAAGGTCATAGAACCTCAAATTATGCTTACAGGGCATGCGAAATTCTGTTGCATGCCAATTTCAATGCAAAACCACTCTGGGGCCACCCCGTCTATTACCAGTGAGCAAATCATTGACGATAGGCATGCGAAAAATCTTTACATGCTAACCAACAATGAAAACATAGCAGAAATGTCCTCAATTGCTGAGTCATGCCCTAGGGGAGGCTTTAAAATACAGAATTTCCTGACATGGATGAGGGAATTTCCCCTAAACAGCATGTGATCATGCCGGCTAGGACGTATTGCCTCCGTATTGCCCCTTTTTACAGCTAGCTAGGCTCATTTTTAGGTTCCATGGCCTGAAATGACGAAAAATTCATGCCCTAAATGTAAAAAGTCCAAAAACGTCCTCGAAATTTTAGTTTCCAAGCCGTTCTTATTGGCAATTTAGGCTAAGTAAGTTGTTAATTTTTATGAAGGAAATAATAGATTGTCGATTACCAGAAAAATAAATAAGCTTTTTATTTATTCACAATTGTGTTATTATAACCCTAACAAAACTGATTACCGAATTTATATATAGTTTTATAGTACAGTATGTTTTTGTTGTATTTAAATTTACAACTCAAAGTTACACTCCTTTGTTAAATTGTTTGTCATAATTTAAGTGTAACCCACATATAAGAAGCTACTTGATTTTGCTTGGCTAAACAGGTTCTTGTATTTATGGGTATTAAGTGGCAATTGTCTGCCAAGAGGTTCTTAATCCAAAGGTTCTTATTAGCGGATGTTTACTGTAACTGCCTCTATAATTAACCCAGTCAAACCTGTATTAAGCGGTGACCAAAGTCCTGAAATAGCTTCCCTTGATTATTGTAAAAACTGATCTGTATTTAGCAGTTACCTCTATTGAACAGACGTGGTCACCTGTTTTCGAGGTCCCAATGAGTAATTTGTTATTGTCTTTCCCTTCATTAAACTGTCCCTTAGACAAGATGTGCAATACCAGTGCAAAAGGATACACTGTATAGGGCGTTTAGTGATCTTTTACAGACTTACCAAGCCCCGAAAAGCAAAAAATGTGAGATTCTGAACCTAGAGCTGGGAAAAGTAGTAAGAAATGGCTAAAACGTCGTGAGGTGTCCCAAATGTCCTAGTGGAAGGACGTTCAGTGGAGATTATGGGTTTTGGAAATCACTATATCACTTTAAAGCTGGAACAGTAAACATCACGATCAGTTTTACGATTTAGTTTTTGTAATTTGTATGTTTTATTGGCGCCATCTTGAAACAAGAGAAACAGTAAGTCTGTACATTTGGTGGCAGCGGCAAGTTGCGCGGTAGGCTAAAAGAATAGTCGCGTTTGATTACATTCTATTACAGTTTTCTTTGAGTTGAGCTGGCTTTCTATTGATATCTAACTTAGAAACGACCCTACAGATCCAAAATTGCTTGGAGTTTGACTTTTCGAGAAAGCGTGAGAAATCAGTTGCCAACTCGTGAAAGTGTGAGACAGGTCCTAAAATCGTGAGACTCATGACAAAGTCGTGAGACTTGACAAGTCTGCTTTTACTTTCTTTATTTTGGCACAAGAAGGCTACTAACAGTTTGAGGTCAATTTGTCATGGGATGGATATTTCGCTCTTTCACCACCTTCATTTCCATGACTAATTCTTTGGTTTGCAAACCGGCCGTCAACCTGTATTAAGCGATTGAGTAAGCCATTCCCATGGATGACCGCTTAATACAGGTTTGACTGTAAAACTTAATTTATATCATTATCTCTCCTTACTGTTTCAGTTTTGTATCATTCCTGAATCTACAATGAAGGTCACCAAGAATGCAGTTACAATTAGTGAACTAGTGAATTGGAATCGTTTTGATTTAAATAGACACACTGTTCAAGTAAGAGATGCTGATCCAAATGAGCTTCAGCTTTTTATGGAAAAGATGCCCGCCTCTATCAAAGGTAAGACTATGAGTTTGAAATGTAATTTCCAATACTTTTTCTGATTGTAGTTGTGGAACAAAGAGGCACAAGCTTGAACCTCTAGCTGCATGTACGTCATGTAGTGTATAAATACAGGTAGACCAAGCTTATGGGAGAGTTCAGGAGTTAGTTTGGTGGTTAAACCCGTACAGGCAGTCAGACAATGATACAGGCAGCCCAAGCTTATGGTGTCAGTAGTGAGTTTGGTTTTGGCTTTTGAATTTTAAGGCATATGGTTAAACCCGTACATATGTATGGATACAGGCAGCCCAAGCTTATGGTGTGACTAGTTAGTTTTGGTTTTGGTTTTTGAATTTGAAGGCATAATGGTTAAACCTGTACAGGTAGTCAGGCAATGATATAGGCAGCCCAAGCTGTTGGTGTGGGAAGTTAAATAGTCTGAAGGTTTTGATTTTTGAATTTAAAGACATATGGTTAAACCTCTGTTCATGTGCAAGGGTAACGGGGCTGTAATTATTAAAAGTTTTAAGTGAAATTTTCAGACACAATGATGAGCCAGTTATAAAAGCACCGTTTAATATAAACGGTGTTAAACAAAATCGCGTTCTGAACGCTTTAAATTTGGTCTACTTTCGGCCTTTCCGCGTCTGTTACGCCGCAAAGTATTATAATTGATAGAATTAACGAAAAATGTAATGACATTAAGCATTTTAAAACAGCTTTCTTAACAAAATGTAGGAATTACATAACGCAAAGTGTAACAAATTTGTAGCGCAAAACGTACTAACGTTTTTGCGCGAAATGTTACAAACTCTTAAGCAAAATGTAACAAATAAAGCTGTTAAGAAAAAGAAAACCTGGCAAGCGTGAGCGTGTAAGCCTCCTTTTTAAGGATTGTCACGAGACCCGCCATATCAAGGTGTTCGATGCAAAAATTATTGCGCTTTGTTGAATCGAAAAATCTTTGAATATTTCTTTGCACACTTTCGGAAGGGTAAATAATCGAGCAATCAAGCTTACCAAACGAGATGGGTCTAAGAAAAACTATTTTTACCCCTTTTATACGTCCTGTTCTTTCAATAGGCTTATCGTGTTTAGTCGATTACATGTAAACGCTGCCCTGGAAAAAACGTTCATTTAACGCTGTTCTCGAATAATCGCCGCACACAACCAGAGGAATGCGGCGTTTATTCGAGGATTACAAAAACACTCGGTACAAATGGTAGTCTACACTAGCCCTAACCACAAGTTGCTCCAAAATTTCGAAAAAGTTGCCCGAAGTTGCTTGAATTTTACAAAAAGTTGCTCCTTAAGTAAAATCAAAATGACATGAGTGACAGCCATTTTCGCGTTTTTAAGACAAAGGCCGCTAGTGAATCACAATAATGCAATTCAAAACTACTTCCTTCTTTGCCCTGTTTGTAAACACAACTGCTACAGGTGACATTCAAACGTACAACTGTGGAATGTCTTCCGTTTTCCTGCACAGTAAGAGTACCTAATTAAGTGACTTTACTTTACACTTGATTGCCGAGAAATAGTTCATGACAATTATTGCCCCCGCAGGGATTTCGCCCAGAAGGCGAAATCCCGAGGAGGCACTCTAGTAGCTCGCGCGTATATGAAGGAAAGTAGTTACAGTTGAAATATACAGTCATACAGTCAATATAGAAAAAATCTCGACTTGCTTGAACAGGGGCCGCAAGGAATCGGTAGGTAATGATGAGGTTTCTATTGTTTGCGCCCGCAAGTACGAAATGGTTAGGATGACGTAAAGACAGAACATCCCCAAGGGACCGCTTAGGTCCATTTTTTGACATTCCTTGTGCTGTCATAATTCGACACTCTTTTGCGTTACGTGTTATCAGTGACATTCTGTGGAGCAGTTGTTTCAGTGAAAGTTTTGGACCAAAATTTTAACGACACTCGTTAAGCGCAGAAGAAGTTATAAGGTGCGAATAACTGTGTATATATAAACACTTGGAGAGTTTGCCAGACACGAGTTCACAAATCTTTCATTGGAAACCTTGCCGGACACGATTTCTCTCTCTTTGACCGGGATAAGACTCAGCCCCAACGAGTGAACAACGGCTAGCTTCTCACTAGCAGAACGATGGACGATTACAGAAATTCGCCGACAATCAAATTCTGTGCTGACTTATTCCCTGCTCACAAATGTCCTTCCGCTATAAAGTTTAAAATAAGACTAGAATGCGCGAGTGTGATTTGATCGAACGTCCTTTTAATTTCTAAGGCTTCCTTTCCGGCAAATAAAATGAACTGAATGTAAAAAGTGCAAGAGAAATGGCGAAAAATTCAACTTCTAATTAAATCTTTCCTTATGGTTTAGAATAAACTATTCTCGAAACTGAGAATGTTTTGATCAAAGTTGTGTAAATCGACCTGGAACTGTACATGGACCCTTGCGTTTACTGTATTTATCTCACCTATTGTATGGAATATCTGTGAAAATCTTCCTTATGAATCGGTATATTTCAAAGAGCTACACAACGAGCAAGAATGCTATTGACCGACAATATACAGAGCGGGGGCAGCTGCAGTGTCAACTATTACTACTCGTATTGGTGGCATAAATCAGTCAGTATCGTGTGAAAAAGAACGCTGTGAGTCGAAATTCCTTCATGAGATCAATATCTTTGTTCTCTTTGGTTTTCTAGCTATTGCAGCGTTTTCAGGCTTACTTAGATTTGCATCAAGCTTTTTGGCTTCGCTGATAGTAGTTATGAGAGTTAGAGAGCTAGAATTTTGTTCCTCTAAACTTACTGAAGATTCAATGTTTGCCATCATTATGAAAAAGGCACGAACAGCTGACCCCAAACCACGGATAGTTTAACTGAGAAGCAGGGGTGGGTGCTAGGTGACTGAGGGGTAGGGGATGGGGCACAAACTTGGATTTTCACGTTGTTAAATGATATCTATTATTATAACATTAAAGAACTGAAATGTCCTTATAAGGATATATAACAAGGCTTAAACAGTATCATAGGACTGTTTAATTGCCTTATGTTGCTTAAAATTTAATCAAGTTGCCCCAAAAACTAAAAGTTGCTCCAAAAGATGCCAAAAAGTTGGCTGAGCAACTTGTGGCCAGGGCTAGTCTACACCATTCAGACTATTACAATTCTATCTTAAAAATTAAGAAACACTGCGGCCTTTTTTATACGGTATATCACGCTTCTTCCTACATGCTTGTGCTTATAGTTAACGTGACATTTCATGGCTTTAGATTTTGGTCAAAACACAGCCGGTATATAATCCCGGATTACTAAGTTTTGACTAAGATTTATCGGATCATTATACGTCTCTGGGAAACTGCCCACCTACCCCTCCCCTAAAGTGAAATGTCCTCCTTCACTGCAGGATAGGATATATATTCACGATTCGTTTTTTTTTTCAGTCTGCGTAAAAGGACATAAATGTCTGTTTTTAGACACCTCTTATGTGCCTTGCAATAAGGAATGCAACATAAAAAGTTTCTCTTAGCCACTTTTCCAGTGCATGTAACTTTTATCGCTATAGAAGTGACTAAGTTTTTACTTTGACTTTTTTTTTATATATGTAGCTGAAGAATTTAGTTTTTATATTTTACATTGTCGCATCTCCAGTTTAATAAAACGTTGTTACAATTTGCGTTAAAACGTTTTTGCATTTTGCATTAAAGGTTTTTACATTACGAGTTCATGTAATTATGTTACATTTTTCTTCAGGCCTCGGTTGTTCAAAGGCTGGATAGCGCTATCCACCGGATAAATCTCTATCCAGTGGATAGTGTAATTAGTTTCCCCAATACTTATCCATCGGATAGTGATTTACCCGGTGGATAGTGCTATCCACCGGATAAATCTCTATCCAGTGGA